TTGTTAAATTCAAAGTACTAAGTGATATTAAGAGATCAAAATTAGCGTAACAATGTGAAAATTAGAGTAATTTATTAAGACGATCTATAATTTGAATTGCGCAAGGAAAATTCTCGAGTAAATGTGTCAATGTTAATATAATTGACGAATGTATTTCAAATGAAATCACTGCCATAATATCTAAGCTCTTTTTTTTAATTAACTCTTCATTAGAATTTTAAATTCAAAATTTAATTTAATTATTTAAGAGGGTATTCTGGTCTAAAAGCTTGAATTTAAGGTAATTTTTGAAGTAAAAAAAGCAAGAAATATTTTTACTATTAATTTTTTTATAAAAAGATAATGTTATGTCAATGAAATTATTAATTGTTAATTGTAAAAAAATAGCATATTGCTAATTATGAATAAATTATTATTATGTATAAGATATTTATTAATATTTTAAAAAAAATATTTTATAAGAAATTTTTGAGTTGAAAAAAATGTTAGCAAAAATTTAATTTGAGATTTTTTTTATTTTTAAAATTACAAATTGTTTTTTTAAATTCACAGCATTGAGTACAGAAGACAAATTGGAGTACAAATTCTACCCAATTTCTTCCCAGCAATTGCAATTTCGCATAAAAGCGCCTAACGATGCCCACGTCGCTTTGACGGCTGGACCTTTTGAAGGAGAACCTATGTTTGAGGTAATTTTATTCTATTAATTAATTATTAATGAAATTTTCAAGATGAAGATATTTATTTTTTTTATTTTTAAGATTTTCATCGGAGGCTGGAGCAACAGCAAGTCAGTTATAAGGAAAAACCGCTCTAAGCCCGATGTTACTGAGGCTGAAACTCCTGCAATTTTGGACGCTAATGAATTCCGTGGATTTTGGATCAGGTTAATTTTATAATTGAATTTTTAATTTTTCACAACAGTAATTTACAAAAATACTATTAAAAAAAATTAATTTTATTTTAATAATGAAAAATTAATTAGTAAATTTTTTTTAAATTAATTTTTCGACAAAAATATAACTATAAAAATTCAATAATTTTTTTAAAGTAATAATTTATTATTTTTTTTTTACTTTTTACGTTTAAATTTAATCATTTTTATCAAAATTTTACCCAATGTTCGTTCAATTTTTTAAAGTATTTTTTAATAATTAAAAATTTATTTAAAAAAAATTCCAATTTTTTCCGGTTCAAAATATAGAAAACTTTTTTTTTACTTTAATTACATAAAATAAAAATTTACGATCAATAAAATTACAGATGGAACGACGGAGCCCTGAGTGTTGGAAAGGAAGGTGAACATTCCGCTTTCATGACCTGTAACGATCCCGAGATCGCTATGATTAATCACTTTGGTGTTTGCACCGGATGGGGAGCCAGTGGCGAATGGTTAATTGAAGGTCAGTTAATTAATTTAATTAGACCGGTAAAAAATACAAAAATTATGAAAATTAAATTAGCCGACATTTGAAAATTTTTTTAATTATTTTTATTGAAAAAATTATAATAAGAAAATTTTATTTAATTTAAATGCCAAGGCAGCAAGCGGAATGGCAAAGCTACAAACATTTAAATATAAATATAAGTATATAAGTACACGTATGATTATATAGCAAATATTTCCATAATACAAATAATATACATTTTATCGGAATAATAATTTGACTTACTAGTGTAAAAATCATCTGATATCATGATGAGGTTCATTATGAATATCATAAGCCCTTTTAAATCGTGATATAAAATTATTGAGTTATAACTATATACAGTAAATGATGCAAATTAATTAAATTAAAGAAATTTTTAAGAGGATTTAAATTCTTTTCACAATAAAAATTAATTATCTTAATTTTATCAGTCAAAAATTTTTTTTAAACCAAAATAGTGTTTTTCTAAATATTCTTTTAAGTTAAGAAAATCAAGAAAGAAAGTAAAGTAGTTCAACAGTATAGTGCATGATAAAAATACTGTTTTTCTCAATTATTATACTTTTCCTCTGATTAACTGAAAAAAATGAAAATTTTACT